TTACAACAATGTCTATCTGATGGAAAGGCAAGCCAGCCGGCAGACACAGGACCTGGTGCAGAATACACCACTTTGCTGTGAGTACTGAAATGACACAGACTGACCAAAAGAAGCAAACAAGCCACAATAAAAGGGCATTCACAGAGAACATGGCCTTGTGCAAGGGAGTCAAGAACAGTAAAAACACGATAGGATGACCCCCCCCCACACACACACATGACAGGAACAAGTGAACAGGATGCTAACTATGGTGGTTTTCATAAATGTTTAATTATGACTGTGTACTAACGACTGCTACTTTGCTAAATAATGTTTTGAGTTTAATGAATCCATAAGCTAAATAAGCTAACAGAAATGACAGCATTTGAAACTATGGCCTCAAACACACACAGGCAAAGAACCAGAAGACTAAGGGCTGTTTTCACATTGCATAATCAGGTCGGGAAGCTTAGAAACTTTCACACATTAAAAAAAACCCCAACAACAAATCCACAAAACCCCTGCTGACTTGTTAGAATGAATGTCTTTACTGATAGGTACTCAGTATGGATGTACCACACAAACCCCTCCTTATTCTAGTCCAGAAAAGTTCTGTATCAAACCATAAATGAAACAGCTTCCCGTTAACAAGGAGTCTAATACACATTTTTTTCCTCATACATTCCCAAGCTCATATTACACTGAAAAGCAACGTGAAGACCAAGGAATCCTCACAATTTCACTCCTATTTTTTAGCATCTGAAATATCGCACAGGTGTCCTCAGAGAGGGGAAGGTCACGACCTATAGGTCAAGTCAGTGATTGCTGGGGCGTTACTGTGGCAGAAGGGCCCTAAATAGCCCCGGTGTGTGCATATGGCAGGGGGATTAAATGTGTGGACTGCTCACAAAGTTACTTCTCGTCGCCCAAAATGGACTCTGAGCACCATGAAAACGAAAACTGTCAAAATGCAAAGTTCTACAACCTCTGTCCCTTCATCGGGGGTCTTCTCTGAAGTTAAAGCGAAGTCTTCTAAAGAACTGTGAGCAATCAAAACCGAAATAGGTAATAAATTAAAGGTGAGGGAAAACCCACCCTCTCAGCCAACACCACCATCACAGACAAAGCCCGCTCGCTGCCTTATACGAGAAATGATTTTTGCCACTGATTTGCCCAGCAACCACATAAATGTTCTAAACCCAAGAATGTGGAGAATTTTCCTTGCCCAGAAATGGTTTTTGAAAAGGATAAGTGCATCTTAACATACATAATTTAGTTTGCAATAAACCACAAAAATGAAGGGGAAGAAGCCTGGAAAAAAAAAAAAGCACATACATATGCTATAATAATCTAATCAAATGCCACTAAAGCCTTAAAGTTCTTGAGAAACCCTTAAAATGCCCTGCAGTTTTCTGGAAAGCTAAAAGGTGATTCTAGCGCTCTTATTTGTTTTCACTGAACAGTTGACCTTATTCTGTTACCAACTCAACATTCTCTCTCACTCTACATTCTTAACTCTAAGGAGGCTTAACAAAGGAAAGTGATCTTAGACCCCCTGGCTGCTAGGGCCGGCTGCAGCAGCAGGCTTCAGAGACCCACACACTGCAGACGGCAGCGGACTGAGGAGCAAGGTTACCCTCCAAAGTCAACACAACTCCTGAGGATCGATGGGATGGGCCATCAAATGAGTTTCTAGATTTCAGTGGACAAAAGCCAAGTTTTTCAGAGGGGAATTAAGTTCTTTTCCACTCATCCCTTCCACCAAGCACCATAGGAAGCTGGTGGTGTTCCTTAAAAAGGGCAGAAATTACGGTACAACTGTCAGGGGAGACGACATTAGCAAGAATCTCTGGTGAACAGATTTAGCTCAATTATATCTGGAAAAACCACCAGGGATTTTTAATTATTAAAAAGTAAACCATATGTCAGAGAAATCGAAGACAACCCAATAGTCAAAACTAGCAGGGAATAGATGTTCTTAACTTGTTTCTACTTTCCTGATTGTACTTTGAAGACCTTTCCTTAGAAGAAAAAGTTCTAAGCAAGGAAACAATAAATCTGAGGTGAAGAGGTAGCTAGACATGCTCCAGCAGACAAACTGCTATTTACAGACTGATTTTGAAAGCTGGGAACCAATTCTGTTCCTTGACAGAGAGAGAGAGAGAGAGTGAGCGAGCGCATCTGCATAGAGACAGACAGATACACAAGGAAAAAACATCAGCTTTGCTACTAATTTACTTTGACAAGCCATTTTTGTAAGCCTTGACTTCATTAAGCACTGAAAAGGATAATACTATTTACCGTTAGATTATCGTAGTGATAGAAATTCTTGGCTCCATAGCTCTAACAGAAAGCATCCTGTGAATCAAGCACTAGAACCAGGACCATAGCCCGAAGTCCTGAGACACCAGTACAGCCAATGATAGTGATGTGTTGGGGGTGAAAAGATAAATCTTGCCCTTTCCCAGAGAAAACGAGTTATACACAAAGATGAACCTCAAATTCATAAATGTTGCACATGCTATAAATGTGATGGCTTTAAATCCTGACAATATTTTATTATGACAGCCAACGTGGATTGAAAAGGAGGCTCAAGAGTGAGACTGTAAATACGCATACACAAAAAACCGTAATAACAAGATGGCCTAAACAGATGAACATAGAGATCTTAAACAATGTCAGTAGTTACAAACTATGAATGTTATTTCTTAATTTAACACGCTCCAAACCACTACACAATAATTAGGAAATTATTCTGATTTGGTGCCAAAGTATATGGGATTCCAACTACAACAGTGGTCTAGTGGTAAGAATCTGTGCTGCAATCCCGAAGGCACGCAGTTCAAATCCACCAGCTGCTCCGCAGGAGAAGGATGGGTAATCCCCTCCTGTTAAACGTCTCTGAGAACCTGCTGGAGGGTCAGCTATGGGTCAGTTCTGACTCACCAGCACACAACAACAAAATAAACAATGCCATGCAACTTACATATAGCTAGATAAAGGCTTCTAAAGCACAGAGCTAATTATATGATTCGTTTACCCAAGTAAAAAAAGAAAAGGAACAGCTTCAATACTTTGGCCCTGAACTTAGCAGTTCTTGCTCAGGACCCTGGAAGGACAGAACCAAGCTCCTTCTCCCTCACCCTGCGGGGAAATTGCATCGACCGCCAGAGCTCTCGCCACACATCACATGCTTCTCATCACTTCGGCACTGCTCATGTGGTTCGCCTCGCTTCCTCTGTTTCCACCTATTCCTTCAAAAGCCCAGCTCATTTGCCAGGAACTCACTAATGGTTTTCTAGAAGCCCTCAAGAAACTGCACCATCTCCCTCTTTCAAAACCTAAAAGACACTTTTCATAGCTTAGTTTGTCTTTTCCCAGATGGCTCAAGAGCAGAGGCTGTGGCCTATTTGCTGTCTCCTGAAAGCGGGCCTCACATCTGGGATCTCAGATGCTCAGCAAACTATGTCTGGGGAGCTTACTGAGGCCAGAAAGTAACAACATCAAGGTACCAGTTTATAGAAACGCTGATTAAGAAAGTTAAAAAACATAGCAACAACAAATTCTGCTCTAATAGCCCATTCAGCTCTTTGCAACCTTTTAAGTATGTAAGGTGTCAGACCTCGTACATGGTACAATCCATTTCAGAGAAGTGATTTTTTTACTAGTCAACTGTATCTAAAGTTAAGATTTCTGAGAAAAGGCCTTCTAGAATGTAAAGAAATGTATCATAGCAGCTTATGGGTTGCCATGAGGCTGGCTGGCAATGTCTTTAGTCAGAGTTTTTGAAGAACAAGCCAGGCAACATAGCCCATCAGGAAGAAATCTGGGAGGCAGGAGGCCGAGGAGTGTGACCCAGCTCCCCTCACCTCACGTGCCTGGCTTCAGATCTCTCATTTGTAAAACCAAGGAACTGGGCAAACTCCTAAGGCTCTCAGGCGCTAACATGCTTGATTTCTACAAACATAGCACACATCTTCACTGGATTATCTCTAAGCAGATACATGGTAGAAAATGCAGAAAATAATTCTCTGCATTACTGATGTCCTTGGATTAATTAACAAGGAAAAGACAACCACACGTCTTCACTCTAGAAAGACTCATACATGCAAGGTGGCTACATTTTAAAGAAAACATAATGTATGGGAAAGATATGAAATAGGATGTGAATGAAAGAATGTGTGAAACACAATGTATATGAATTTTGTATGCAAATCAGATATAAAATTAAAAAAAAAAAAAAAGGAAATACAGAATAGTACTACAAGATGAAAACAGAAAAAAACAGCTACTGAAGACTCAGAAAAAGAAAAATATTTCCGCCCAAGCCTCGGAACACTACAAGTAACTGCAACTAATACTTTATCAGTGCTCTATTAGAAACCACTGCTGACGGTTATAGAAAGCAAGGAGGTGACCAGGAGGGACCGTTAGCACAGTAAAATAGATATAAATCATGGGAATTTGAAAAGGAAAAAAAAAATTCAGAATTCCAGAAACTCATATGAGATAGATCATTTGGTCTGACAAACGCACAACAAAGATGTTACTGTGCGTGAGCTCTGCGGGGCGATGACTCCCAGCCTTCACAGGCGGCTCTGTGGCTCGCTAACATATGGCAGGTCTTTCAGGCAGTTCTGAGGTTGGTTTTCTCTTTTGCCCTAGAGCTGCAGCCAGGCAGCTCGCTCCAGAGCAAAGCTGCAGTTGGGTTTCTCTCAGTTTCCAGCCAGGCCGGGCAGGCTCACCGTGGTGCTGGCTGGTGGCCTGCAGGTGCCAGGAACCAGGGGTTACCGAGGCTCAGTTGGAACAAGAGCATATTGTGTGGTTGCTTACAAGGGCTCTGAAAGGCACTTTCTTAAAGTGATGGGGGAGAAAGGGGCATTCTCGGGAAAATGCTAACAATTACCTAATGTCTTCCCTTCATCCTCCTCCCTGCATCAAACCAGGAAATCTTACTAAAAGCAGGGCCTGGCCCCTGCATCATACGATCACTAACTGTGGGCTCAGGCGCTCTGTCTTACCTTCAGAAGCTTTGATCACATAGCCCCCCTTCTTCTCACCGGGAGGCACGTCGAGCAGCTGCATGACTCTGTCCAGCAGCCCGTGGATGATCTCAAACCCAGGGCTCTTGCCGTAGTACACAGCACAGAGATGCCTGTAGTTTCTCGCACCAACATCTAGAAAAAGAAAAGAAGGAGCGCTTATGTCCATCATCACTGTGGGGATGAACTTAACTCTGATTCAAACTTGGGCAAAGCCAACAAAGAAAGAAAACAGATGAATAAACCTAGAGAGGGATAGTCAGCCATCAGGAATGCCTTCTCCAACACCTTTCTCTAAGGCGTTTTTATTTAGGGGGAGGCTGACATAGTGTCTACAACAAATGCTTCATTACATTGTAAATGGGAAAATCCTTTGTAAACAACTTAGCAAAATACAACAGAGCCTCAAAACCTCCTACTTTTCAGTTATAGAGCCTCAAAGGAAAGAATTCTAATACAAGAAAGGCTTGAGGAAGAAAGGCATTCATGGCAACAACTAAACTGAGACTTGGCTACATAAAAGTCCACGGCAATCCCTCAACAGGGCACAATGTGGCTGTTAAAAAGCATCTTTGTTCTCAGAACTGTGCGCACAGAAACTGTATATATTTTCAACAACAACAAAGAAAACAAATTAATTTTTAAAAGCATTTTTTATGAAGATATACTCCAAAAGAGCAAGAACAAATACTTAGAAGACTAGTTGAACAAAAAGGTCAATGAGAACGCATATGGAATTATATTGTTTATACAGGCTGGTTAAATCTGAAGCACAGGTGAGCTCTGGTGGCCTAGTGGCAAGAAGCTGCACTGCAATCCCAGAGGTGCATGGTTCAAATCCACCAGATGCTCTGCTGAAAAAGGTGGAACAATTTCCTCCTGTACCAGTCAAATCTGATTTGACAGTACACACACACAAACAAGAAAATAAAAAATTTAAAAAAAAATAAATAAATAAAAAATCTGAAGCACAGGAAGGAATGACCAGTAGAAAAGTTCTAACAGTTCTACTCCACACATGTGGGATCCCCATGAATCAGAACACAACTACCAACAATTGAATGTCCTATGTGCCAAACATTTAATAGCTTCCTACCCATCTATCATCATCGTATTTAATTCCTAAAACACTCGTGTGAGGCAGAAAGTCTTGCCCAAAGTCAAACAGGCTAAAGCTAACCATAATTAATTACATAGCTATTAATCTGCAAAACCAAGATCTGACCAGCATTGATTTGAAAGCCCATGCCCTCCACTACACTTTTAAAGTTTTAAATGCAAATATATTAGGGCAACTTTACATATGTACCTATGCCTACTCTACGCAAAGATGTGCATCTTGAAATTGTTTTGAAATGCTAAACCAATTATAATTTTTTAATTTAAAAATTTAATTTAAAACATTTTTAATTTTTCCAAGTTTCCGTGAGTACATCCTTGATACGTAAAAATTCAATACAATCGACTGGAATAAATTACTCAATCATAATAATAGTGGAACTCATGGGAAATATATTCTCAGTTAAATTTGTACCGAACCCATGTGGAGAAATAACCATTCTGACCACTTCTGTGGAATACGTACCAGGGAGCTAGGGAGCTCTGGTAGCTATGTGGTAAGAAACTGTGCTGCAAACCCAAAGACAGGCTGTTCAAACCCACCAGCTGCTTCAGGGGAGGAAGACAGACAATTTCCTCCTGTGCTATTTACAACCTCTGAAAACTCACATGAGGGTCCCTTGTGAGTTGGTTCTGTCTTGAAAATTGTCTAACAACAATAACTGCAACCACATTCAAAGCACTACAGTGAAGGTCTCTGCGGATGAGAGAAATGAAAGCTAGTTTACAGCCTGCACAGACTGGGCCCTCAATTATTTTCTACATAAATGAATGAAGCCGAGTACAGGAATAAGAGACACAGAAACATCATCGCTAAAGGCTGGGGCAGATGGCAGGCCCCGCTCCAAGTCACTACAAGAGCCAGCTGACAAAGGACTCTTCTGCTGTCACTCTGCATCCCTTCCACGTCCAGAGAAAAGAACTTTATTATCAAGACGCTTACAATCAAAAGTGTAGGAATAAAAGCTCAGTATTAAAACCTGGAAGTCATGAAAACAAACTAAACCAACCACAAGCATAAACCGAAACGGGACGCAGTTCTCGGCGGGTGCACGTGTCCCCCTCTCTGGCTGGGTTATGGGCTCATGCTCCGCTCTCTCTTTCTCTCTCTCTCTAGCCCTGAAGGGGGAAAAAATTGAAATGAAACAGAACCAAATGATCCCTTTCATATAGCTGACGTGCTTCTGGGTCTCTCCACCATGTGGCACCCATTTGCTGGTGTCACATGCTTCTACTTTAGGACACAGACACGTACTGAAATGACTTTGTAGTTCCATTTTTGCTGTGAGGGATGAGCCCGAGAGTAACGTCACCATTCAGTGCGGAGCAACAGAACCACACGTTGATTTTGGTAACCTTTGCCTCGGAATACTTTTCTCCCTCATCTCCAAATTATGCAAAACTTGCCATACTGACTAAGAGTAGCACCATTGGGATTAAAGTCTTAGCATTTTAGAAAAACGAATCAAGGGATATTTGGTGGTCAAATGAGGGAAATGCCAATAAAAAATACTTAGTCTTTAGGAAATGATACTCTACTTCATTCAAGACATTTCAGGATACACATAGCATGCATACACACACACACAATAATGGACTGTGTTTTTAGAATTAATTTTGCCATTTTGGCCACTAACTTTTAGGGCAACAAATTAAACTCACTATAAGAATTAAATTCATTAATGAGACATCTGTGGCCATCCCCATTGACTGGCTGGTTTCCCAAACTCCTGTGAGCTACCAATCCATCTAGAACTTGCTTCCTCACATCTTGCTAAGATGTTCCCCCAGCTGTCGTTGAACTGAATTAAAAGAGAAGATAACCCCAGCTTCAGTTCCACTCATTCTTCCTCTGAGAAATTGCTAGGTATAGTAAGATCCCCATTTCCTAGTATTTTGCACCAAAAGACCACGTTACATCACAGGAAGTTCATTGACTGCATGCTACAAAATGAGAATTATTTGGATTTCATGCTAAAACTATAGTTTGTTGGAAATGCCTCAGTTCTTTATAACTCAGTTAACAGACCTCCTGTGTCATGCCATCAAACAATTCTGCTTTTTAAATGGGCCTGCCAAGTATGTCAGCCTAAATTATACATGTATTTCCCAGACTTCAAAGTACTGCCTGGAGAGGCTGATCTAAGCCACCCAGAGGAGGGGCACTGGCTCCGAGGCCACAGCTGAAAGAACATGCCAAGCGCCTTTTCAAAGAAGAGCAGAGGGAAAAGAATGGGACATGATGTCCCCTCGTAGGTGACCACTGCATACAACTCACATTCTTAGAACAGCCTGCCCAGTGTGGCTCCCTTCACTGGGTACCAGTAATTCAAAGCAAATGAGGGTGTCAGGTTCTGTCAACAGATGGGGCACGCACTAACACAGAACTTCTACGAGAACTCAGAAGTCTTTGGAGTTTAAGTACTGGGCTGCTAACCCAAAGGTCAGTTGTTCAAATTCACCAGTCATTCTGGGAGAAAAGTAGATTTACAGCCTTGGAACTCCGATGAGGAAGTGAGATCTACAGTGTCCTTGAAGGTCACTATGCAGTGGCTTTGACCAAGAGAGCCTTTCTACCCTTATTCTTACATGCATCTACAAAGCCCAACTAAAGACGCCAGGACAAAGGGATCCTGTGTCCAAAGAGGCTTCGAGGCTAATCAGGAGTTGAGAATGTTCTGGAGAGTAATGGTCTGGTCATGCTCAGGAACTGAAGATAAATCACCCTGATTTTTAAGTCCATCCAACAAATATTCTTTAACATTAGTATCCAAAAGACCCAACAGCATGAATTGCTGAGAGAATTCCAACATAGACTGAAAGGATCCATGAAAACAGTAAGAATTCTGTGAAGGTGTACCACCTTTAAAAGTTATTATGGTGCAGGGAGGAAGATGTACACGAATGGACAAATAATAAAAACCCAACTTCTGTAATTATTCTACCTAGTGGTAGGAAACAGGGGCTGCTGGTGGCCGAGTGAGTAAGGAGAAGCACTGCTAACTCTAGCATGGGTGGTTTGAACCCACTAGCTGCTCCTCAGCAGAAAGAAAGGAAATCTGTCCCAATGCTGTTTACAGTCTCCGAAAACCTGCTTGCTGGAGGGCCTGCTGTCACGGGAAAAAAGCAAAGTGCACACAACAGAACAAGTATCACGCGTCTCAGTAAATAATAAATGGTATCCACATCTGTCTGTGTGTGTGCGCATGCATGTAACAGAGGTGGCATCCACTTCCTAAACAGTATGCCTCTGGAAACTCTATGAACTTTGATAAATGATGATAGTTATAGAGGGGCTTCAGGCCTTTTGTTCTTGGGGTCGCTATGAGTCATGCTCAACTCAACAGCAATTAACAACAACAAATATATATATAAATTGTTGTTAAGTACCATTGAGTGGGAATTGACCCAGAGTTGACCCTCCAACAAGTTTTCAGGGGTAGTAAATCACATGAAAGGAAACTGTTCAGCCTTCTCACACATAGCAGCTGGCGGACTTGAAGCCTGTGCCTTTTGGGATGGCAACACAGCTTCTAACCACTAGGCCACCAGAGCTCCCTAATACATAAGACATATAAATATATGTAAACATAACACATATGGTTGGCCGTGAATAGGAAATGTCTGGCAATTTCCCCCACCCAGACCCCAGTGACTGGTCTTCTGGGAAGCAGAATATCAGGCCTTTCTTCGGAGGCCCCGCTGAACAGATCTGAACCTCCAAGGTTTTGGTTAATAGAGAACGTGTTCACTATTTTCATTACCCAAGTACTTCACATACTTGTACTCTTTTTAACTACAAAAAGAGTAAAATTGCCCGTAGATTAAAAGTACATATTCTTGAAAGACATTACAAACATACTTTCAATTTAAAAGATAAACATGATAAAACAAAATAACAATTTTACTTATAACATTTTTTTAATATTATAGCCCCAAAGAACACATTTTTCTTTTTAAAATAATGCTGAACAGCCATGAAACAAATGCGAGGAGAAATACATGACCTTCACAAAGC